TACCACTTCCACATCATCCTCCACGACGACTACTACATCTTCAAGTCCCACTTCCACAACAACTTCAGGTTCATCAACTTCCACTACTTCCTCCTCAAAAACAACTACCAGTTTACCACTCTCTTCGAATTTTCCAACAAATGCAGCCGTATTATTCTTCAACGGTATAGTTGGTAAAGGACCAGGACCATCTACATTACCTGACGGCTCTAATCCATTAGGTTCCTCTTCAAAATTTTTACAGGGTATACCTGTAACTAATAATAACAGTAGTAATAGTGATAATAACGATAGCAACAGTGGAGATAATAGTAGTGACAATGCTACCATTACACCAACTGTATCATCTGCCAAAGCTACTCAAACCCCCTCATAATTGATAATTGGCCTTACATACATACAAAATACTATGTATACATGCGCAAATTTCTTGTACAGATAAACCGTTCAGAACATAAAATAGACGTAATTTATTATCATATCTAATTTACTATTGCTATACATAACTTAATTTCTTTACATAAAGATTAGCGTACAATATGCATAATATATACATATTGTGAAGAAAAGAAAAAACGTCTTGCATATTTTCAAAAAGTTTGAATTTCGATATATTTTTATTGTTATTGAGGGCTCGCATTACGTTGAATACTCATAATAATAATTAAGAATTAAATTATTCGCGAGCCGTTTGACATAATTAAAAGGTTTGTGTCACATAACAGTTTTAATATTTGCTCCAAATTATCAGAAAATAGACATGGCTTTCAACTTTTTGGATGTTATTTTTCCATGGATTTCTCCACTGATTTCTTGTCACTTGCTTGATCAGAAGAGATAGAAGAAATATAACTTTCATCGGAATAATCAGAGTCACTAAAATTTTCGGAGTCGTCTTCACATATATAATCGTAACCAGGCCAAATGCCTGTTTCTTGATATTCATCGACGTTGATCACATGACTGTAGTTGTTGTGTTCAGGATAGACGATTTGAGGGTCATACAATCTGCAAATTTGAGGATCTTCGTAAATAAACAAAGTGAAAAAGAATTTGCAATCTAAAGTATACATGTATTTACCCAAGAAATAACAAGAAACGACAAATTAAATTAATTG